GTTTTGGTTTTAAACGTTTTTTTTTTTTTTTTTTTTTTTTTTTTTTTTGGGTGTAATGATAGTCATGTCAGGTTGATTTAGTGAAGGATGGGGGTCATACATACTTCATCAGGTTTCTTGATAGCCTGGAAGCATATCCCGAACAGCGTGCAATGGCTGCATTTGTTTTAGCTGTAATTGTGGATGGTCACAGGCGAGGCCAGGAAGCCTGTGTTGAAGCAGGTTTGATCCATGTTTGCTTGAAGCACCTTCAGGGTTCAACTCCAAATGACGCACAGACTGAACCCCTATTTCTCCAATGGCTTTGTCTCTGTCTGGGAAAGCTATGGGAGGATTTTCCTGAGGCTCAAATTATTGGTTTGAGGGAAGATGCTCTTGCTATATATGCTCCTCTGCTGTCTGCACCCCAACCAGAGGTTTACCTTTTTGATATATAAAGTCATATAATTGTTTATATTTCTTTCTTGAACCAGGTGGACAATTGTCGACTTTTGCCTCTACATTGTATATCTTAGTAACTTATGTCCAACTTTCAGGTTAGGGCGTCTGCTGTGTTCGCGTTGGGTACCCTGCTTGATGTGGGCTCTGAATTGTGCAGAGATGGTGTTGGAGGAGATGAAGAAAGCGATAATGATGAAAAGATTAGAGCAGAAATTAGTATTATTGAAAGTTTATTAAGTGTTGCTTCAGATGGAAGTCCATTAGTCAGAGCAGAAGTCGCTGTTGGTATGTGGTTTCTCATCAAAATCTCCAGTCATATGTCAAATTGTTTATTGGCATTGGGTTATTGTTTGCACAAAGGCTAAGGCATCATATTGGCAGCTTCTTTTACACTCTAGGACCTCCTGCACATCCCTCTCCACCCCTGCTCAGTTTATCACTTTTAAGATCTCAACTGAGCTCTAATTAAGTTTCATTTTCTTTTCCATTTTGACAGCTCTAGGGAGATTTTCTTTTGGCCACAACAACCACCTCAAGTCAATAGCAGCAGCGTATTGGAAACCCCAGTCCAATTCTCCTCTGAATTCCTTGCCTTCATTGGCTCATATAAAAAGTTCAAGTAATGTTCCATCTCAGATTGGTCCACTTTCAAGAGTTGGCACTGACAACTCATCTCTAGTACGAGATGGTAGGGTCTCCACTAGCAGCCCTCTCGCTACTTCTGGAATTATGCATGGGTCTCCATTGTCTGATGATTCATCTCAACATTCTGATTCTGGAATATTGAATGATGGTATGAGCAATGGAGTCATTAATCACTCGACGCCAAAACCTTTGGACAGTGCAATGTATAAGCAATGTGTACTGGCTATGTGTACTTTGGCCAAGGATCCATCTCCACGCATTGCCAGACTTGGTCGGCGGGTGCTGGCTATTATAGGGATTGAACAAGTGGTGGCAAAACCTGCAAAAGCTGGTAGCAGTTTACGTCCTGGTGAACCTGTTACATCAACTCCTTTTGCTGGATTGGCTCGTTCCTCCTCATGGTTTGATATGAATGGAGGAGGTATCTTTTCATAGTTAACTATATGAGATTAAGGATGATTATATAAGTTACATTTTATTCTGCTGCTTATATTTTCTTAACATTTCATGACTTAATTACTATACTTTTATTGACAGGCCACATGCCCTTAACATTCCGAACTCCCCCTGTCAGCCCTCCTCGAGCAAGTTACTTAACTGGGATGCGGAGAGTTCTCTCGTTAGAGTTTAGACCTCATTTGATGAGTTCTCCAGACTCTGGATTAGCTGATCCGCTTATAGGTTCTGGGATATCTTCAGGTTCTTCAGAACGTAGTCTTCTTCCACAATCAACCATCTACAACTGGAGTTGTGGGCACTTTTCGAGGCCGCTTCTTACTGTGGCAGATGATAGTGAAGAAATATTAGCTAGAAGAGAGGAGAGAGAAAAATTTGCCTTGGAACACATAGCTAAATGCCAGCATTCTTGTATGTTTTTGTTTGCTAAATTTTCATTCAATCTTTTCTTAACTGCTTGTTGGTTGTTAGCTAGGATCTTAACCTGTTTAACTTTTCTTTCTTTCTTCCTTTTTATTTATTTTTATTTTTTTGTTTTAATGACGTTGATCAGCTGTAAGCAAGCCAAATAATCAAATTGCTAGGTGGGATACAAAGTTCGAGACAGGGACAAAAACAATCTTGCTTCAACCATTTTCTCCAATTGTAATTGCTGCAGACGAGAATGAGCGAATAGGGTGCGTCACATTCACTCATCTTTTTCAGTTAATGGATAACACTAGTTTGAGCCCTGACTTGACAATGAAGGATAGTATGCTGGGATAACAATAGTAGGGTTTGTCCACTGTTGTTTGTACTTTCTTTCTTCTTAATAATATTATCTTGTTTCTTATAAAAAAAATGCCATTAAATTCTTGTGATCTCTTCTTTGCTCTATCATTGATATCAATTGACCTTAGATGTTTCAAGATACTTTTTATGGATTTTTCCAAATAAAATATTATGGTTCTTCATTCTTGACCTTATGATCTCAACTATCGTTTTGGTTCCTGATACTTGTGGGGGAAAAAAAAATTGTATACCACTGTACCTAGTCTTTTTGAACTTCCAAAGGACTGTCATATCTTGAAAATGATACAGCAGTTTCGGGATAAAAAGGTTTGCTTGATTCTGGACCTGGTTTACAGGAACGTTACTATTGTTGTTTTATCTGAAAGCAATAATGTTTTTTTTTTGTTTTTTTGTTTTTTTGTTTTTTTGTTTTTGTTTGTGTTTTTTTGTTTTGTTTTTGTTTTTGTTGTATTTTTTGTTTTGTTTTGTTTTGGTTTTTTGTTCTGTTTTTTTGTTTTTTTGTTTTTGTTTTGTTTTGTTTTTGGCTTCCCAGTTTTGGCTGTGTTGTTTTCCATTTGATGAATGCCATCAACTCTATTTAAAGTCAATATAATATGTTTTTCCCTGATTCAAACATGGCAACTCGACACAATTCTTCTAAATAGTATTCCTCAGTAACCTTTTTTACATTATAACTCGTCATGCATTGACTGCTGTTTGATTACTGCCGTTTTGCTCTACTTTGAGCTTGACGTTTCAATTTGTTTTGGTCTTTGTTTCTTTTGTAGGGTATGGAACTATGAGGAAGCTACACTTCTCAACACCTTTGATAATCATGATTTTCCTGATAAAGGAATTTTGAAGCTTGCCCTTGTGAATGAGCTAGATGACAGCTTGCTTCTTGCTGCTTCATGTAATAAGCTATTCTTAACGTATACTAGTGTCTTCTTGGGCATAAGGTTCGTTATTAAATTTGTCTTATGGCTGACTCACACTGTTCTCTTGTATCTAGGTGATGGAAATATTCGGATTTGGAAAGATTATACATCGAAGGGTGAACAGAAGCTTGTTACTGCTTTCTCTTCAATTCAAGGTCATAAACCTGGTGTCCGAAGCTTGAATGCTGTTGTGGATTGGCAACAGCAATCTGGATATCTGGTACTACGCATCTTTAAGATGCAACCTTGGCACAGAAGGATGTATTTTAGTTATTATTTTTCTATTTTAATGTTTCATAAGTTGATGATTATGTTTGATAAAATTCTTCAATGTTACTTTTCTAGTATGCTTCTGGAGAGATATCACGCATCATGATTTGGGATCTGGACAAGGAGCAACTTGTTCATTCTGTTCTTTCGTCATCAGACTGCAGCATCTCAGCATTGGTCAGATTTACTAACTTAATGTCTTTTATATGTGCATTACATTTATGACACCAATGTTTTTGCAGTTACGACATTTCCCTTATGGCACCTTTATTTTATTTTATTTCATTTTAATTTATTTATTTTTGCAAAATAATGACTTGCAAGTTGTCAGCCGCATTTATTTCACTTTCTTAACTTTTAATTTTCGGTTGTATGCATGTGGATGATGAAGCAAATTCGTCATGCTGTTTTGTCATATGTGGCTGGGTTTGGTGAAGTACTTTTACGTTTCATTTTAGTGTATTTTTTTGGTTCACAACAGTTTCAGATGAGCTATACCAAATCGTCATAATAGATTCAGGCGTACTGTTTTTGATGTTATGCTTTTTCTACATTACAAGTTAATTTTGTAGCTTTTGTGGTACGTATCGTAATTCCTTTTGGGCTACTAAAGGTATTTTGTGCCTGAAAATGTTCGTCAAGAGTCTTGTATTAATGTTTTACTTCATCTCATACCTCATACCTCATAGTTTTTAGTTTTTGTGCGTTAATTGTACCAGAAATAGTTGTATTTGTTGATTTTTCTTCCCTGCCTGCATTTTGTAGTCTGCCTCTCAAGTTCATGGTGGTCAATTTGCTGCTGGTTTTGTTGACGGTTCTGTCAGACTCTATGATGTGCGAACACCTGAAACGTAAGCCACTAGTACTTCTGCATGAAGATGCAAATCATTGCCTGCCTTATTTAAGAGTTGAACTGGTTATAATGTATTTTAACTTAATCTCCATAGTTCAATTTGTTCTGGATATTTTAAACTTGTTTGTGCTAGGTATGAATTATGATTGTGAGCTTTTATCATTCTTGTTGGCCATTTGCTATTCATTACAGACATCATGGAGTTTATATATCTTATTGTTTCTCCGACATTGTATCTTGCAATTTGTGCTGTTTGGTGCATCACAGGATTTACATTTGTAATTTTTCCTTCAACTAGTATATCAAAATGCACTTCTTTCATTTTTGGCTAAAGATAGTGTTAGAATTTTCTCTCCTAAGAAATTGAACATTATTTGTCAATATTCTGAGATGAACTCTTACTATATTGTCCTGTGCATTATTTGTCGGCTATGTGCTGTGAAGTGCTTCTACATTAACCTTCTTACTTCTGTTATTTATAGGCTTGTGTGCACAACACGACCACACGACGAAACGGGAGAGAGAGTTGTGGGGATTGGCTTTCAACCAGGACTTGATCCGGCTAAGGTACGTAGAGAACACTGTTGGTTAAGATACAGTGTTAGTGTTCAAATATTCTAATTTATCTTGGTTTTCAACTTTTGCTGAGTTTTCTGAGCAAAACTTTAACTTGCATTGATTGATGCTTCTGTCCAGATCGTCAGTGCTTCTCAGGCTGGTGATATTCAGTTTCTTGATATCAGAAATAGTAGATCCCCCTATGTCACCATTAGAGCTCATAGGGGCTCTCTTACAGCTCTAGCCATTCATAGACATGCCCCGATAATAGCAAGTGGTTCGGCCAAACAGCTCATCAAAGTCTTTAGTTTGGAGGGAGAACAGCTAAACACCATACGGTACTACCCTACTATCATGGCCCAAAAGATTGGTTCTGTTAGTTGCCTTACATTCCATCCGTACGAAATTCTACTTGCTGCTGGTGCTGTGGACACTTTGGTTTCTATTCATGCTGATTGACAAGTATCAAGCTAGATGAGAATGCATTTTCTTTTCTGGGTACGTGTTTGATATGGCTTTCTTCGGAGGTCTCGGGTTACTTGGACTTCTTATTGGAGTCCCCACCATTGCAGCGCTCGGCGCGGGATCGTCATGAATACATTATGCTTCCCCGACTCCTCCGATGTCAAAGTCTTGAAATATTGGTAGTTTGCTTTCTACCGATCTTGTATGCTATATATTCATTAGCCTCCGGTGTAGAGGATCACTGGTGTTGGAAAGTATTCTGCATATTCATTGGGGGCTTTGGAAAATAATCTGTCGCATAGGTAAATGTATGTAAATATTCCTTTTTTATCTTTTCCCCTTCATCTTGGTGTGTTTATTTTTTATTTTTTCTTTTTCTTTTCACCCCCTTGTCCAATTTGTAAAAGCAATACATTTGATGGTAAAGTGTCGCATACAGATGGTGACGTGGGTTGTCGTTCCCTTGAAATGTAGGGGAGCTCTCACAGCTCCACGTTGCTCATCCATCCATCCATGTTGATTTGTCAACGCCATTAATTCACCTTGTAATTATAATTATTTGAGTTTCGCATCCATTTCAACTCTTGTCCCTTCTCCTAATCGAAGTGTTAGCATATTACAACAATTAATTAATCGTTGAGCGTGGAGAGGAGGATATCATCCTTGTAGGTGTAGTTTAATAATTTCTCAATTTAGTATCCTGGTTTGTAAAATCCTTTTGTTGTATCCTAATATTTAAAAAAAAAAAAAAAAAAAAAAACGGTACTCTTTTTTAGGATATGAAATGTTAGAACTGACCGAGATGAAGTATATTGGCTGTGCTTGTGTCTAAACACAGTAATTTAATTTAGAAGGGTCTTAAGAGCGATGCCAAATCTCGGGGTTTTAGTCAATACGATAAAAGAACAGAACAGTTCTCTTGTTGTATGTCTCAAAAAGCGGCATTAGGACGACATTATGATAATTTTAAGAAATATCAAGGTACCTTAATAGGATTTTCTGAACATAAAGATTCCAGAATTGAAGCATTGTTACATGAGTGATACTTTTTCTTTCTTGCATTCATGATTGAATCAATAGATTAGCAGATAGCATATCTTCCTAATGCCGTTCCAAATCAATAGATTAGCAGAAAACGCTCCAAATTCAGGTTTCAAAGTATTACTTTTCTCACCACATCGAAGATTGAGCACTAGATAGAAATTGTAGGAACCCAATCATCTGTAGATAACAATAAATACAAATGTTTTCCCGTTCCAAGTATCACCTGTGCATTTGAGAGAGTCCCCCCTCTCAATACTGTTTACTCATTTTACACTTCTTCCCTCCCATTTTTTGATATTTGCTTTCTCCGTCTTATTGCGTTTGGTCTTGTCATTTTCCCGCAACAATCTCTCTCAAAGTGTCATTTCTCCTCTCTATTGGTTCAAGAAAAAAGATTAAAAATTTTCACACTATTAGAGAATCCGTACTAGTTATCTATTTTTATCCATTCCTTGGATCAATAGAGAGGAAAAGTCATTTGATAGAGACCATCGTAAGAAAATAACAAGACCAGGTGCGATAAGAGGGAGAAAATGAATAATAAAAACGGGTGAGAAAAGGAGAGTGAAATAAGTAAGAGAGAGGAAAAAAAAAAAAAAAAAAAAAGGTATTTTAAGTCCAAGACAGATGTAAGCTGTTTTTGCCTTCATTAGTTGAGTTATGCAAGAAAGCACGTGTTTTTTTTTAGAATATAATAGGACAGATCAAGGTCACAAGTCAATCACCCACTAAGATGAGGCCGGGGTAAGGAGTTGAGGTCATGCACACAGACAAGGTCACGCACTGTGATGATTGGGCACCAAGACGAGGTTCAGGTCAAGGTTTGAACATGAACATGAACATGGATCCTTATGTAAAAAAGAAAGCTTATCAGAAAGTACAACTGCACACTAGTACAAAAAGGACATTGTTTAATTCTCGATATCCGCAATCTCATCTCATTAGAGAAGTGGTCTCCTAGGTGGTAATTTTGAAAACCCAAAAATCTCAATAAATAAGCAAGTTGTGTGTTAAGGGAGAGGTTGCGTTTGTGAGGGAGGAATTTTGGTTGTATATATAAGAGAGGGATAAGAAAAAGAAAAAAGAGTGTGCAATCTCCAGCATTAATACAAGTGGCGAGTTGATGTACGCTTAATTGATATCCGAGCCACTCTTAAGAATTTCCTCCTCCGTCTCCCAGATCATTTCAATTATCTTAGAGTCCGTTCAGTTCGCTGATTCGAGTTTTTAATTCAAGTTGAGATGTGATTTTATGTGAGAGTTTTTTACTGTAGCAAAAAAGTTAGATGTGATTATTTGTGAGAACTTTTAACTGTAGCAAAACTCAAATTTTAAACTCGAATCAGCGAAATAAACGGGGCTTAGTCATGCATTTGAGTTTCATCTCCAAAGCATCTATTATTATTTCATTTCAACCCGCGTTGATGGAAAACACCGCCAAAAGAGTCAACAACTGCTTTTCATGGCAATTCATTTCTCCTACGTGTTCTTGCTCCCACAAAAACTCCATTCCAAATTTTATTCTTTACTCTCAAATGCTTGTTCCGCAAATAGTCCATCCCAAACTATTAAACAACTTATTAGAATAAATTCTTCGGCTGGTAATATTCTAGGAATCCATTAATACAAAAAATATTCATAATAGGTAGGATCAATCTAAACCAGCCCATTATATATATGATTCAACATGCCAACTATTCACAGTTTATTATAAACACAAGACACAAGACAGTAAAAATGCGTTTAATTACAGTGAGAAAATAATAATAATAATGATAATAAAAATGGTAATAGAATGGAAAAAAAAAGTTAATACATTTATTTGGTTGTTATTTTAAAAATACAATGGAATAAAATATGAATACTTTCATATTGACAAAATTACCCTTATGTTACATATAACACTAATATTTTATATATCAATATAATTAATATAATATATAAAATGTAATATAATATAATAAAATTATTATATAATTATA